CGAATTCACGATCAGGAGTTCCGAAGGGGGCGTTGATGGTTGCGTAGATTGTCGGTGGGCCAATAAGACACCTCCGTACCCGAAGTGATGAGGAGGGGGCGGCGCAGGTCCATATCATGGTCCAAAGGCTGATTAGCTTGCCCAAAAAAAGACGCGGGAAAGTTCGTTGACTAGCATAATGACTGGCTGTAAGCCTTTGTGTTCTCCATAAAGCATCATTGTAGTAAAACTGATTTCGGTGTCGGTTCCCGTCTAGCAGTGCTTGGCTTTGTAAGTACAATGATGATGCTGACACCAATATCAGCGTCGACGCGTTCGATGTTCACATTGGACGTCTAAGAGCATGCAGGGGATAGTTCGTGCTTGCAATTTGGAGGGACCGCTGAAAAAGGTAACATGTCATTGCCTTGTCTTCTAAACCGTGGCTGGTCATAAGAAGGAGACCGACGGTACGAGTAAACGAAAGCATGGCGAATGAGAATGAGGGTCGAATTTGAGTCGGATCGGGCCGTCCATCAAGAGTATCTTTCAGACCAACGGTTGTGGCCCGCGGTGTAATTGTTGTAGTCAAAGGGGTGGTGGAACTAAAGCCGTTGAAAGAACAGCTACAGGCACCAAGCGCGCGCATTTGCAATAACTGAGACCAGAAAGTTTGAACCGTTCGGCGCGATTCCAGTTAGATCTCTGTGGAATGTGACATATGACTATTTCCAGACTCTGAAGTCGATCAACCTTCCTTTTGCTGCCGCAGAATGCTGATTGAGGCTGGTGATGGCACAATCACCTTCTCGCTGCAGCGTGATACAGAATCATGAAGCAGGAGTGTACTGTGAGTGATGCAGCGTGCGGCAACTACATCGGCGGCAGTGATGGCAGTAAAATGACACCATAGGCAAAGAGGCAGGTCAGTGGTGCACCCCAAGCTACAGAAGGGTGTTGCACCAACAGACAAGGAGGTTGAGGCTGGAACTGCCAATAACAGCATCGGCCTCTACGTATGTGCGCTTAAACAGCAGGCATGAGACTCTGCTCATATGGACCTTTGGATCCAAGGTTAATAATCCTTGAAATTTGAGGAGTGCGGGCTGGAGGATGGAACAATGGAGCAAGGGCTGGCACGCCTTGTGTGCACCGCATCTGAGCCAGTGCTAATTTGGGTGCTATACCAGCCAGGTCGGACCCAGCCCTCTGGTTAACCCGATGCTAAGGTAGGGTAGTGTTCGTGCGTAGGTAGTCCTGATCTTGATCAGAGCTGCAATGATCATGGCGGATGAAACGTTGGTTACCGCTGGGTCAAAGCTCGGATGGCAGATGGTGAAAGGCCGCAAAGGGACCGTAATCTGGGTGGGAGAAGTCATTAGAAGTACGTAATGAGCGCGCCATAATTGTCCTGTCTTGGTGGAAGATGCGAGCGTATTGCATGGGGTGGAGGGACTGGACACTCAAGTCCAGGTTGGCTCTTAGTGGAGGTTGAGGTCTGAGGATGGGGTTGGGGTTGAAAGGCGGCAACAAGCGAAGTCGTCACGCACGGGGCAGTCATCCTTGACCGGTCGAGCCTCCCCCATCTCCCACATGGCCTCTTTCCTTGTCTAAGTCAAGTAGCTTTGTAATGCTATTGGCTGACACGGCCATACCATGGAAATTGGAAGGCCCGGCACGATACTAAGCAGATGCCCCGCCCTTCAGCGCCCCCATATTGCCTTTCGACTGCCGCTTGTCAGAGGCCAACGGTGTGGCTCCCCCGCTTGATCCACTCAAGTCATCTTTATTGCACCTTCTTATGTGAGGTAATCTTAAGGTACAAGTGCCTCAACGTCCCCTGTGAAGATCCTACGTATGCCCTGGACATGATTGCACATTGAATCTCACGTACCATCCAATGGGAGCCTTACCTAGTTAGGCTTCTCGATCCCGATTGTATGGTCTGAAGCTTAATACTGGCAGCCTATGAACCACTTGATCACTTAGTGCTTTGTCCTTTGCAGGTGCATACAGACACCCAGCAGAACAGACTTTATTATCTCGTTGCCTAACGCTCTTCGAACATTCTACTCAAATCATAATATTAGCGCCAAGGTGAGGCTTTTGTTGGTTCACCACATGCACGAGTGGAGTCGTTACAAAGGTTCTATTAACCTTTTTGACTCTGTTACATCAGGGACAGACTAAGAATTACAGTACAGACGGAGATTACCATCGCCTGCCTTGTTGGTAGTCTCAAAGCGGACAAAGAAATCTGACAGGAGTATAGGCGCTTCATACGGTAAGGAGGCTTCATACATATGACCAGAATGTACTTTTCGATAAATCATGAACAGGCATCCGTCAGCAAAGGGGGCTTACGATCCGTAGTAACACACCAACATTCTGCTGAGAACAAGAACGCACGAGGTCGTTTTTGGGTCACACATAACTTAATGGATGCAGAATCAAGACAGATTCTTGGAGGAGAGACAATGAAGATTATTTGACATGAGTTCCCACCTCAAAATCCGCCCTGCAGTCGAGCTATTCTACTCCTAATCGGGATAAGCCTTTGGCATGAAGAACATCTGTATGAAAGGATTCACCCTATACCCTCCTTGCGGTTTTGTAGAACCGGCATCGACTGGGTCAACTCCAGACAGTGGGCTCTCTCTCACTTGACTGTTGCCCCTTGATATAGATAAGACGCCGCTGTCTAGAGCCAAAAACGGTAATAACTGGAGAGTAACCAAAGAATTTCGAGGGGCCCTAATCCAGGATTATCTCTTCATCTAAGTGACGTTATTCCATTTGTAAAGGGGGGTTACTTTACTACCCCAGACCAACAGTCTTTCTGGTTCTCTGCAAGTAGCCTGGACATGTCCAAGGTCAATATTGCCACCCTCAACTGACTGGGCGTCTCTTGTTACCACTCTTCCATCAGGCCTCATTAACAGATCTCGATACAGTTATCAATGTTCATTTCATCATCACTCCTGGCATGAGGGAACGCCGGAGAATACTTGTTGGATTCTTCGGGACCGCACAGCCGTCTTTTGCTTCAAATTGGGCTGGTCAGCCAGATTTGTTCGCTTCTGGTTTCCCAATTGAGCATCTTGTCAAACCCAACAACAAGAGCTAACCTCGAAGTGTATGGAGTTGAAGCAAAAAGGAGGCCTTGACCAACAAGTGGACCCTCTGCGGTGTTCCTCTACCGGATACTGCTCCTGGATCCGCGATGGGATCCTGATACTGAGCCTTCCGCTATTCGAGCATGAGCCGGCAGCCAAGGTCTCGTTGAAAAGATCTTTCTGTGAGACATGGAAAAGCTTGGGAGTACAAATAAATGTTAATTTGGTAACCAATGAATCATCCACCAGGGGGGATTGCAGCATTCTGGCAAGGCAAGGCAAACAGGACCAAGGTCCAGGCCCTCGATAAGAGCTTCATTTTTCTTGATGGTTTGCTTCCAGGATGTTTTGATAGAGTATTCATCATGGGGTGCCTATCAGAATTGATAACTTAACAATACCCCAGGTTGAAATGAGATGACTTCCAATCAGCATGATTCGACTATTGCTCACCGGTCATCATTAGCAATGGGCAGCTGCCACTTTGTGAGAATACCGAAAAGCAATAATTTCTCTCTTTGACATGGGAATGGCGGTATAGCCTCAACCATGGCCATCGATAACCTTGTCCAGGAGCAAATGACTTTGGTGGCGAGGGAAGTTGTGCAACCCCCCAGCTCCCTGGATGAAACTTGGCACGCAGTTGTCCATAGTTCGCGGCGGCGCCTTGCCGACGAACGCTCAAACGATTCAGGAACCGTTGATCCATCACATCCAGGATGGAGATCCCATCGTTAACCCCAAGGGGCAACGAAGAACTGCCGGGCTTACCTTAGTAGCATCGCTTTCTGAAGCACTAGTCTCTGGGGTAAGCAAACATGACCAAAACAAGTAGCGGTGACAGATAACTGTTCCTATGATTAGATGACCAACAGAAATTGCAGGATAAAGTAGCGGCAGTTCTCAGGCTGATGCTCCAACTGCTGAGGCATGCAGGTATCCGGACAGTCTATCCAAGACCCCTGCTCCGACCTGTACGCACACATTTGAGACCCTTGACAACTGTTGTATCAGATTCTTTACGAAATAATTTGACTGACATGCTCATGACTTGCATTGCATTAGCTACCTTATCTGGTGAGTAGGTAGGTAGAGACCAATAGACGAGGTAGCGGATATCCTGATGCAAGATAATAATAGACCCCATTTCAAGGGTGAGTACAGTTCAGATCAGCGATTGGTACATTATAATAGCGTCCTCCGTATCAATCCTAGACCACACCTCCGCGCAGTCGTGTAAGTCGAGGTGAGTAGGTGGACATCCAATGCATACCTTATGCACATCATCGCAGGCCGGTGGGGCTTTTGTCTTGACAAGCCACGGCAATAGAGTGCAGTTATTACACGGCATTTCGTTACATTTGCATTTGGTCCTGAATGATCCATGAAAGGCCTGGTTGACTGAGTACAGACAAGCAAACAAGCAGGATTAGAGGCCATGCGTTATTGATTGGGCTTTGGCGGTGATTCAGATTTACATGGATTATCGACTCCATTTCCATTGTCTTATACCGAACATGGAAGTGAATGTGAGGCATGGAGTGCGTGCATGGGGCGTATCTTTGCTTGATATGGGCTGTTTTGCTATAGCAACTCCATTGGGGGAGTTTGTCAAATGATCAATATCTGGCAATCTTGTGATCCATCCGAGTTTGTCATGGTTCTGACAAATCTGCCGATATCATCTAGTCTATCGATATTCACCTCAACTCATGCCTCTCTCTCTAGGTACTCTACATACCTACCTACCTACCTAGGTACCTACAGTAAATGAGGTGTCTAGTGGGCAGTGGGCACTTCAGTCATCCACTATCAGGGCAACAGGGGTCCGATGACTTTGTGAGCGCCCCATCGGCAGTGGCTTGGCGCCTGTGGGGACACTAAGACCAGCCTGGAACTGCCGTCATGGGCGAAAAACAGACGTAATTGTTGGTTACCTGAGGACTCATGAGGGACCCATTCATTCATTGATGATGACTCTTTCGATCCTTCATCATTTCTCGGTCAAACTGGACTCCCACTCTACTACTCCCTGCCTCCCTCACTCGCTCAGAATTAGGCAGACGATGAGCGTCTACGGTACTTGCTTGACTCATCGAGACTGATACATGGTCCTAGACAAATAGACAAATACCCTCATAGCATTGTCGCACCTCGAGTGACTGATTGACTCTCTCTTCTCACTCCTCCAGCTTCAGCTCCAGCGCAGCAGAAGCAACAGCAGCCGCAGAGAGAAGTACACTGCTTGTCCCGGGCATGCCGAAGAAAAGGAACAACATAAAGTCCTTCAAGCCAGTCTCAACGGCTTCTCTGACTGCGTCAACATCGACGAATAATTCTGGTGAGTGCTGCAGTGCTTGCTTGCTTGCTTGCTTGCTTTGCTCTTCTGTGCTGTACAATCATGCCTGTGCAGCTGGACTGACACAAGCACACACCCCTCCCCTCTGCTCTGTTCTGCTCTGCTCTTAATCGCCCGGCGGCCGGCCACCTCTCGGTTCGCTTCCTTTCAACCCCCCCCCTCCCCCTCCTTCTTCCCCATATCTTCTTCAAACCGCGTGGTAGCCAAAGTCTCACAAGCAATACGCAGCAGACAGGCCCTCCCGAAGCGTCAATGAGTTGCTAGCAAACCTGCGTCGTACCTCGATCAGCCCCTCCTCCACCTCGCAGTCAGCCCTGCCTGTTGCTGCTCCCAGTGTACCCCCGGCCATCAGAGAGATACTCCAGATCCCAGACACACCGGCCCCTGCTCCTCGCCGTCCTGCCCGTCAGAGATTCGATAGCAATGGCAGGAGACTCCCTGCTGGCCCTCCTCCCCCCAGGAGCTGGGTTGCCCGTAATTCATCGGATGCTGCTCATGAGGCCTCCTCCATGAGCCAGTCGCGCTTGAAGTCAAGAGGATTGGAAGATACTTGTTTGCCGGGGACTTATCTCCCGAAACGTGGGAGTCTGATAGACATCGTGCTGCAGAAACTCGCATACGAGTGGGCTTTCCACAGAGTGTACAATCAGTACCATCTGTACTTTGTGCCCAACCACCTGAAGGCCGCTCTGATCCGCTATGTTGGAATCGCCAGTGAAGCTGGGCTGTCTTTGAGTGATCTGAAGCTCATTCTGCTGCCGCCGCCAGATACATTTGATGAGACCGAGTTGAATAGTCTGACGGTTTCGAATCCTGAAGTAAACTACCTCGATCTTTCGGGCTCCGCATGCCGGTCAATTAAACTGAAAGAGATCAGTGACTTGTTGTTCCCTGCCAGAGATGATCAACCCACGACAGAACTACAGGAATCCTGGGACGCTTCCGAGAGTATTCCAAGCCCTCCCCGAACTTTGCTGCCCAACCTCACCCACCTTTCGCTCGCCTTGCATCCCGGACATGCCTCGTCCGCATCATGGAAGCAGCTGCTTTCCCTGTCTCCTAAACTTACCACGCTCACGCATATGAGTCTGGCCTACTGGCCCGAACCATGCTTAACACCGAGGTCTCGCCTGGCCACCGTATCGAGCCCGCAAGGTCGTTATGCCTATGGCGGGACGAACCTTTATTCACATTCGCTTGATCACGATTGGAGTGAGGCTTTACTCGTATTGCGCATGCTGAGTAAGAATCTATATGCGCTCGAGTTCCTTGACCTCACAGGCTGCTGTCCTTGGTTCCCTGCACTGATGGCCGAAACTGGGCATGATTTTGTCAACTGGGCCGATCATTGGGGCAAGATCACTGAGCTTCGACTCTATACAGGGTGGACTCCTGGTCCTGATGCAATGCCATCTGAGAGATTGCGTTATCGAGAGGGAGTTCAAACGGCTAAGGATGTCGAAAGGCACATTAGAACCATGAGAGCAGGCAAGGGAAGATTCATTGTCGTAGAACGCGACAGTTTAGATGATATATAGACAGTAAACTCATAAAAGGATGCACATTGTCTCCCATCATTTGTCCTTCAGTGATTATTCTCCGGATCGATGTCCGGTTGCCCAGAGAGCTTTGAACTTGGCGCCTGATGCAAGGAGGCTGTTTGGTTCACCGAGCTCGACGACGCATCCCTTGTCCATCACAATTACGCGGTCAAAATCAACGATCGTATCCAGACGGTGGGTGATAAACACGACGGTGTGGTCCTTGAACTCGCTCTCGATGACGGCCTTGATGGTCTCTTCTGTCTTTTGGTCCACACTATGGCTCTATTAGTTCCGTTTCTTAGCTCGTAGTTGCATCGTTTGTTCAACTTGCCTGCTCGTCGCTTCATCCAGAAGCACAATTCTCCCGTCGCTCTTCCTCAGCACTGCCCGTGCTAGGAAGAAGAGCTGCTTCTGCCCGTGGCTCAACGTGTCTTGATCAAATGAAGCATCCAAGCCCCCATGTCGTTCGATCGAATCATACAATTCAACGAGACGAAGTGCCTCTTTGATTTTCACGTCGGAGTAGATACCAAGCGGGTCAACGTTGTGTCGAACCGTGCCAGGGAGTACGAACTGGTCTTGCGTCAGAGTGATGAGACGACTGCGGATCGTTTCTCGAGGAACAGAAGATAGAGAGATCCCATCGATAATTATACTGCCAGACGTAGAGTCTAGGAGTCTGAGGAGAGCAAGAAATATGGATGATTTTCCACTGTGGACGAAAGACGGTTAGAGCGAGAGAGGCATTGGGGTGAAAATACTGACCTTCCTGTGCGACCGCAAATACCTACCTTCTCCCCTCCCTTGATCTCCAAACTGACTGCATCAAGAGCTGCAATAACTTCTCCGTCTCTATCACCATACGATGCAGTCAAGTTGTTGATCTGTATAGCCCCTTTATCAGGCCACTGGGCTGGTGGTTGGTGTGTCTCTCCTGGTAAGTTCTCCTCGCCAGTCTCCTCAGCGAATTGCTTAATGCGAGCTACAGCACCAATGGATGTCTCGATAGAAGTCCAGAACTGGATAAGCATGTTCACGGTCTCACTTAACGAGATTAGCTGCACGAGAGATACGCCTGTTAAACCTATATCGACTCCCCCACGAAGACGAACCGCGAGACCAACGAGAAGAAGAGCCAGGGCTGCGGTGGTCAGGTCGAGGACGAGGACAAGCCAACGCTGGACGATCATGAGGAGATAGAAAGGCCTCTGTGAGCGATCTACGAGAGTGTGGTTGGCCTCAATCACTGCATCTCTCCATCCGAAGGCTCGTATGGTTGCTAGGCCGGAGAGTGTTTCGAGGAATTGGGTATATAGAGGGGCCTTTTCCTCGAGATCGAGCAGACGGAGCTGACGAGACGTACGAAGATAGCCACGTTGAAGATAGAAATAGACAGCTCCTAGCAGAGGGAATGTAGCCGCTATATAGGGGTTGGAAGAGGCGAGGAGGCCGGCTTTGGCGATAGCGCCGAAGAAACCTATCCTATTAGTAGAGCATTTAGTTGATAAGAAGGGGCCTTGGCTTACTGGCGAGACTCACAACGAGACCAAGAGGGAGGTGGTTGTCCACCATCCCTACATCCTGCGAGAACCTCCATGTGTTAGCTTTCGAAGCCAACTTCTGCGATGTCAGCTTACCGTGTTGTGATTGACCCCAGGTCCGTCGTGGTAAAGAGAGACAAAGGTGCCCTAAGAGGATTAGTCGACAGTCCATCCTTACGTCAATCCATATGCCTACCTGACTACCGTGGATAACAGTCTCTTGTGCAGGGTTATTCCAGACTTTGCCGCTACCAGGACAATGACAAACCTGCTAAAGTCAGTACCTAGTACGTGCAACGAAGATCTGTATAGGATACCATATAAGAAGTGCAAACCAGATGACTGCGGTAACCTGAAGAGCGGCATAGATACCAAGGTAGTAGCTCGCTTGATCGTTTCCCTTCGTATTGTCATCAGTCCATAATTTCAGCCAAATTGCTAGTCTATGTCAATATCTCGAACAGTAACCGGATGCCAGGTGACAAACTTGGGAAGCTTTCGAGAAAAGCCCAGATGATCTCGAGTACTAGAAGGACTATGATAAAAATACCGCCAGTGCTGCTGAAGTAGTATCGATATACAGTCGAGTCCCCAAGTTGTCTGCGTGTATCTTCTTCACTGGCCTGTTGCCTTGGAGTCGCTTGTGCTAGCTTGGAGGCCTGTTCTTTGATATCGTCAGTTGCAAGTGTTGGGGCTTCGCCCTCATGAACCCTGTTCCTCAGTAAGGAGTGCATATAGCCACCAGTGTCTTTGAGATCAGAGAATGTGCCCTGCTCGGAGATTTTCCCATCCTTGTTAAGACATATAATATGGTCAGCAGACGATAGAAAGTCAACTATGATCACGTTAGCAAGTATATTTGAAAATACTTGGACTGTTATACCCGATCGAGTCGCCAGAACAGTTGTCGTATTCCACTGCCTCAGCAAACCACATTCGCCAAAGAGGTTCTCGAACACAGTATGGGCAGTCTGACCATCCAACCCACTGAAGACATCATCGAAGAGAGCAATCCGAGGTTTTGAATAGACAGCCCTGGCCAATGCCTATATAGTCAGCTTGTGATCGATTGCTCCGTTGGTCTTGACTTACAACTCGTTGCTTCTGGCCTCCGCTGAGGGCCAGCCCCTTGCTGCCTATAACGGTGCTATCACCCTGGGTAAGTTGTCTGAAGTCCTTCTCTAGATCACAGGCTTTAACAACAGCTTGATATAGAACAAGGTCGAAGCGTGAGTAGCCGATGATGTTTTCACGAATTGTCCGGTTCTGAAATGTGAGCTTGGAAACAGATAAGAATATCGGATAGGCATACCAGGAGCCAAGGACTTTGCTCACACCAGGCAATCCCCTTACTATGAACGTCAATTGATCCAGTTATATTGGGAACTTCTCCGAGAAGTGCTTTCAGTAGAGTGGTTTTGCCACTCGCTACTGGGCCGAGAAGTAGGACAAGTTGATTGCGGCCCAGGGTAAATGACAAGTCTCGAAGAATGACACGATCCTCTGACCACGCGATGTCGGCGTCGGAGACTTGAATAACAACTTCTCTCATACTAGAGTTTGCTGTAGATGTCAATGAGGGTTCCCTCAGGATTCCTAACTCGATAGAGTCTCTGTTTCCTTGATCAGGTCCGTTCAACTCCACAACTGATTCTTGTTGGCGAGAATCTCTTCGAGAGTCTTGAGTTAAGAATGTTTGTATTCTTTCAAAAGCGCCTAAAGCAGCACTCATGTCAAGAATTACCTCAAACATAAAGAAAAGTGGTTGTGCCAGGAGAATGATCAGGGATAGAGCGGAGAAAAGTCTAGTAGCATCAAGAGTCTCGCCGGAAACCGAGGCAGCCCCTTGGAAGAGAGCAAATGCCGCAACAGGAGACAGGAGTAATGGGACTTGAGCAATTGCGGACGTGACACTGCTGACAATCCTAAATGGTCTCGAGGCTTTGATCTCATCTGCTCGGAGGTTGAGGATTGTGTCAGATAGGTTTTGAGCTAGGCCTGAACATTTGATGCTCTTGATGTGTCCAATCATGGCAGAAGTTATACCTGGCTAGTATTAGTAAGTTCATGATGGATGAAAGGAAACAGGAACTGACCAACTCGTTTCTGTGTCTTGTCTAGCCAAGAGATCTGATACTTGCGTGCCAGAGGTGAAACGAGAACCGTTGCAATGAGTGCCACGAGCGACACTATGATGGGACCTACGGCAGCATAGCCTATGTGAGTGCTCAGCAGCCAAGTAGCTATGGCAAGTTGTATGATGTTTGCCCAGAACTCGTGGATCTCTCTGACTGCCCTCACAATAACATCGACCTAGGAGATAGTTAGCCTAGTATGTGATTTTGTGAAAGGGTCCTTACATCAGAGGACATGAGCGTCACCGCCGCTGAGTCGTCTGTTATCGTGATGCTCAGATCGGTGGCCTTGGAGAACACGGCAGACACCAACATTCCGCGCAACAGTGTGACAGATCGAGCATTGCGGTGCCAATAAAGGGCTTGTGAGAGAGCAATGCCAGAGTAAACAAGACCGTAGGCTGTGATGATACCGTAACCAACATTGATAGACTGAGAAGTATCGTCGAGGAATACCAGCAGTCGGTTGAGAATGAGTGGTTGGCATATAGTGAATGCCAGAAGCGCCAGTCGAGGAAGAACAACAGTGATGATAGACCATCGCAATGTCATGACGCAACATAAGATCAGCCGGTTTTTGCGAGCCGGGGCTAAGCTGGCATTTAGTACATGGACATCACAGAAGAGTTTAAAGTATGATACTATATATGCTATCTAAGAGTGGGAATGGGAACAGACAGACCTTTCTGAGTATGCCAATGCCTCCAAAGCCCGTCGATCAGTCTCGCCGAGCCCATCTCCTCGTCCAACTCAAACAGATCCATCGGCCGTAAAAGCTTTCGAAATCCCGTCAACAGCAATGGAGTCACCCACGCAAAGACGGCTCGGGCGTACAGTCCGGCCGTGACTTCGGGAGAAAGGGGCCCGGAGCCGGCGACAAGATACGAGGCTTTGCTCCACCCTTCAAGAACGACAATAATCGCTTTCAGAGCAAAGGCCGCTGTGAAGACAGCTGGAATGGCGGAGCTCACGGGAATCAACCAGAGGGTACGAAGGAGGGCGACATCAAGGAGCAAAGACACGGCGAGAAACAGAGTCAAGAGAGAAGATGGACGAGGAGATTTGGCATGTTCGACACGAGAGAGGACACAGGACATCAAGCTTGAGGCAAAGGATACACATGCAGCAGCGACAGAGACGCGATCTAGACGCGAATTAGAAGGGCGCGTAGTCCAGAGCACAAGGAGCACGAGATGAAGCACGGCCAAAAGAGCGATCAACGCCAATTTGACAGTGCGAAGACGGTGGCCAGTGACTTTGACGGAGACATTCCGAAGACGAAAAAGACGAATAGGAGCGAGGATGAGAAGAAGAGCGGCTGGAAACAGCACGAGAATGGATTGCTCAAAGACGAGAGTAAAGTCGAAGCCATCGCGACATTCAGGGCCAACAAAGGGTCCGAAAGAAGCGTCGACAGACGAAGGGCACAGATTTTCAAGAGAATAGTTCATTTTGATCGAGATAGTAAGTGAAGTTGTAAGAAGAAAGAAGTAAAAGAGCTGAGGGGAAGTGAGTGACTGTTATTTTATTTGGGAGACACCCTGGCCGCAAGGGATAAGACGAGAGGCAGAATTAGGAAGGTGGTTAATCACTGTAGTAAATAAGGATAATAGGGTAAATTAATACTCAATTAATATCAACCTGAGAATAACAACAAGATCACATAAGAGATGAAGATAGAGATAGGTAGAGATACAGCAACTCAAACCATAAGAGGAAGGACAAGGGAGTATGACTCAAGCATGCACCAAAATCATATAAAGTCAGTCAGAGCGCCATTTCTCCTGTAAAATTGATGTTTCTATCAATCGCAGCGTGGGGAAGTCATTCGGCGTGAGTCACGCACTTGTAACACCACTAGGTACTAATAAGTTGGAGGCGACAATGCAAGCAAACAGTCGCATTACGAATAGGGAATGCGAATAGTACGACTAACAACTAACTAACTACTAAGTTTTTCAGCCAAGAAAAATATATCGAAATTATACGGAGTACACTGTGCATGTAGATCCCCCGACTGTTGAAGAATTAATAAATAAGACCAATTCATCGATATCATCAAGCCTTGTTTTCAGGGCAGCTTCGACTTGTAGCGATTGCTTTCCTATTAACTCAAGTTCGTTCATCTTTGGTCTTTTAAATCGTGTTAACTCCCTCCATCATGACGTCGGCAGCATCTGAATCTGTAGCGACTATTCTTTGCAACTCCAAGCAGACGCGCTTTCAAATCACCAATCATCGCGAGGTTTGTCACCAATTCATCGCTCATTCTCTAGGCACTTTCTCACCATCGATAGCTTGACATTGATGGAGTCAACATCACCGTGACTTCGGGCGACAAACCTTCTGGCAAGGCCAAGTCAAAGGCAAAAGGCGAGGGCATTGAGATTCTAGCTGGGGCCAAACTTCGACTCAAGGAGGGCCAACGATATGCTCTTGTAGGCCGCAATGGAACTGGAAAGTCCAGTAAGAATGTGTGCTTGGTATTGCTGTTGATGAGGTGCTAACAGTGATAACCCAGCACTGCTCAAAGCCATCGCCGAGAAACTCATCCCAGGCATCCCAGAAGAGACTAGAATTGCTATTTTACAGCAAACAAGACTCACTGATAAAAAGCCTGAGGACAAATCCGACACCAACAATGGCGACAAAGCATCTGTGCTGGAACAAGTCATCGAAAAGGCTACAGCCAAACATGCCATCGAACAGGACATCATAGGTACTCACTCCATCTACCATTTTAACCCAGACCTCACCTAACTCTTTATCCAGACTTGACAGAAGGAATAAATTCCTCTGATCCTTTTACCCCAGTCAAAGCATTGAGGCATCTGAAGCACAGAAAGCATCAAGAGCGTCTCTTCCGTCTCGATAAAGATGCTCGGCTTCGCAGTGGTGCTCGCGGTATGCAAGCTCGCAAGGCACTCACTGCCTTTGAAAAGGTCGTAGCTGAGTCGAATGAATTGTAAAAGAAGTATCCTTCATCTTTCGTCGTCATATCTAACTCACCATAGGCTGGAACAACCCCATGAGGATATCTCAGCCCAAACTCTTCAAGCTGAGACCCAAGAAGCAGTCGATATGCTCGCCGATCTTCAACTACAGGTCGATCCAACTCGCGTATCAGAGATTGAGTCCAAGGCTAAAAAGATTCTGACTGGTCTGGGCTTTTCTGAAACTCTTATCCAGAAACCCATATCGAGCTTGTCTGGAGGCTGGCACATGCGTGCTTCTCTTGCTACGGCTCTGGTTCAAGAAACTGATATCCTCATCCTAGATGAGCCTACCAACTTTCTCGACCTCTTGGGAATCATCTGGCTTCAGCGCTATCTTCAGAATCTAGAAGAAGCAGAGAACCCACCGACACTCATTCTTGTATCGCACGATCGTGACTTCATCTCTCTTTGCACCGATTTGCTTATCCTCAAAGACAAGCAGCTTACTTACTTCCATGGCGATTTTCCCACTTACGAGGCATCGCAAAGTGAGCGCAAGCAATGGCTCACTACCATGAAAGAAGCTCAGGACAAGCAAAAGGCGCACATCGAGAAGTCCATCGCTGCCAACATGAAGGCTGGCAAAGCAAATGACGACACCAACAAACTCCGTCAGGCCAAGTCTCGTCAGAAGAAGCTTGATAACCGCTGGGGCTTGCAGGTCAGCGCCAGGGGCGGTCGTTTCAAGCTCAATCGGGATCTTGTTGGCTTTCACTTGACCGCGCGTGATGATATCGACATTCCACCAGAAGACCGCCCCGTCGTGGTGAATCTTCCTGAGCCACCTGACCTGCGCTTCCCTGGTGCTCTGATCTCTCTCGAGAAGGTTGCGTTCCGGTATTCTGCCAAGACACCACTTGTTGTCCAGGATATCACTCTTTCTATTGGCATGGGGGATCGCATTGGCATTCTTGGCCTCAACGGAGCGGGCAAGTCGACGCTCATCAAACTCCTCGTTGGTGAGACTCGGCCTACATCCGGAACTCTAAATACACATCCCCGGTTGAAGCTGGCATACTACTCTCAACATGCCGTTGAGGCACTGCAGTCTCTCGGTCGCGAAGAACCAGCCCTTACAGCTCTTGCTCTACTCACTCGCGAAGTCGAGGGCGAACTCACAGAAGGAGATCTCCGCGGTCTTTTAGGCCAACTTGGTCTTCCAGGTCGTATTGCATCTGGCGTGCCCCTGTGTAAACTATCGGGAGGGCAAGTGGTGCGTTGTGAGCTTGCTCGTCTCCTATGGCGACGACCTCATTGTCTTGTTCTTGACGAAGTCACGACTCATCTTGATTACGAGACTGTGACTGCGCTGAGAGAGGCATTGAGGGATTGGGAGGGTGCTGTAATTTTAGTAAGTCACGATCGATGGTTTATGCGAGGAGTGATTGAGGGTGCGGTAGATGAGGATGAGGAAACAGACGAAGGTGATGACGATGAGGAAGTTGTGCGAAGACGAATTGTGTACAGGCTGAAAGGTGGTAAGATGGATACATTGGAGAATGGTGTGGATGAGTTCGAACGGCTCATGGAGAAGAGGGTCAAGAAACTGCTTCAAGATTAAAAAAGGTTTATTGACGTGCATGGAGCGTATCCCTGAGTATATAGCAGATCAGGCCTATTCACGGCTCTCTAAAATAACAGGGCTTGCCAGGATCTTGAAGAGACTATGATCAAGCATCTTGATACTCATATTTCCACCTTCAGGTATCTCAACAATAGTTCCATCAATGCACACCTTGCGCCATCTCTCATCCTTCTCCAGAACCGAGATTTTGACTTCGTCGACTTCATCATAGCCAACCTTTTCTCCATCAGGCCACTGCATACCAACATGACTGCCCTCATCATACGCCTTCATCATGACACTCATTGTCCGCTCACCACCAATTGGTCCGAAATGCACAAGTCTAAGCTGTGACTGCAAAGGTTTAGTGGCGGGTGAAATAGCAAACTTTCGCTCCATATTCGATACGAGAGCTGTGAGCACATAGGCATGTGACTCGCGAGGGATATCCTCAAATGTAGTAGAACCTCGACGTCGAATAGACACTTTTGCAGCATATGGGTGAGACTCCTTCAGAAGCCCTTCGGCGACCATGTGGAACCGCTTATCGCCGTGGACACGATATTCAGGTGTGTCACTCTCGTGGACAAGACTTGCATGAAAGCCATAGCTGGCTACAATGGCTCCCTGAAGATGCGTGACTGACGTCTCCTGCTTCTGAATCTGATTTGGGCCCGGGATAGAAGACCGTTCCTTAGATTTGTCTGTGAACTTGACGATATGGGATCCAGATGAGAACGATGCCCGGAAGACCGGAAGATCAGTGCCCACGCCTTGGAATAATGTTCGGAGCCCGAGTACAAGTGGGCTTGGGCCAGGCTCAGTGTAAAGCGGCTTGTGGGTAGAATGGAAGAGGGCGTTTCCTGTGCCCAGAGGAAGAAGGGCAACTGTCGGTGGGTTCTCTGGCACCTGGTTCCCGTCAGAGCCGTTGAGGAGATCAACGACACCACCATCTCCACTCAGAAGCACGATAGTCCTCGCTTTCGAACGCTCATCTGTAGTCCATAACTGCTTTGCATAGTCTCGGATGGTCTCTGGGCTTTCTGTGTGGATAAGACGATATGTCGATTTACCAGAATCGTCTCCTACGATATATGTCCAAATAGGATGGAGAACGTCTTCCCAGACTTTTGAGGCTAGTCCAACACCCGATTTGATCGAGACGATAATGTCCACCTGGCTTGTGGCACCATGCTCATTGACAGGACCGTGCTTAAGATGAGAGGGTAATCCAGCCACAGTGAGACTTCGGAGCCCAGTGGGTATTTCGTCTGTCTTCAGTATCGAGAGTTGAAAGGGCATTTCTTTGTTCTCTGGGTCCTCCTTGAGTATAAAAAGTAGATATTGCGAGGGCCCTGATTGCGAGTTTGTTATCTCGTGAACCAAGACAAGCTCATGACGTGAACCACTGTCGGATGTCCCGGTGCGAGTCCATGACAGATTGTCTTCAGTAACGGAAACATTTTCCACGGTCACCACTTTGGGTGAATGAGGCATTTCCAAAGTAGTAGACATTGCCAGTAGATGAAGAGAGAGAATAGAAGAATATGTGGTATCTTTATTGTAATCAGGCGCTATTGGCCAATCATGAATACGTGTGATAGGACTCGCAGATTCAAACGGAAGCGGCCAGAACTAGAGAGACGGGAACCGAAGTCGCCAGGCTCGCGAGTATGGAGCTGTTTTAAGAGATGAGTTTGTGAATGATGAAGGAACCAAGTCCAAAAACCCTCAGTGAAGCTCATCTCGGCCTTTGTGGGGCTGTGTTGCTGACGAAAAGATGATAGGCACGCCAGCATCGCGCAATCAAACAATTCAAAAATCCCACAGGATCGCCTTCTTTAACCGGTAAGACCAAGTAAATGATCAAAGGTTGTGCTCTTTCTTTTAT